AGAGGGTTCTGGCACTGCCTTGCGCTTTCCTTTGTCGACAGATTGAGGTGGTTTACGAGGAGACGAAGAAGTACCCGTATATCGTAAACCTTGAACTTTCGGCCGAGTAAGAGAGCGTACGATTGTCAAGGGTTTGGTAGGAGAGGGAGAACTAGGAGCACTTTCGACAGCAATGTCTCTATCGCAAGGAGAGCTTCTTGAAGAAAATGGAGAGGAAATGGGGAGAATACCTCGGGAAACGTGAACAGGATGGGGAGTGCGTGGGGGTGAAGGGTAAGACTCTGATTCTTCGTCCTCTTCCTGAACTGGAGGAAGTTGCTCCTCTTCCTCCTCTTCGGGAATGGGAGCTTGAGGAGGACGAGCTCGAGAACGGGGAGGTGCATTCTCTTTCTCCGGATCCTCATTCTCATCTACGCCTTCGTCATCCTCGAAAGCGTGTTCTGACTCATCCTCGTCCACGCCAGCTTGGGGGATATTCTCCTTGTTACCGTCGAGTTCAACGGGCTCTGGCTCTGCATAAAGGTCGTCGTCTGAGCTTGGGTAACGGAAAGGTGTACCGTCACGAGGAATTGGGAACGCAGATGACTCGTCTTCAGCTGCTAGTGAAAGAGTTTCGAGAGGAGCGCGTGTGGATGTTGAAGCCACCGGGAGTTTCTTGACATCCTTCATAGTGGCAGAGGAAGTCGTAGCAGGTTTCTTCATAACACGCGTGAGGGCAGGAACGGGTTTCAAAACAGCAGGTTTCTTCTTTCGATCCCTTTCTTCTTTCAATTTCTTCTCTACCTCTAAAAATCCAAATGGATCTTCATCAGAAGGCTCGACTTCCACGGTCTTTGTCTCCTCGACTGTAACGGTTTCTATGACATCATCCTCTATAACGAAAGGAGGTTCGGCGTCGTCAACGCCGACTGAAGACACCGCGGAGAACGGTGAGGAAGGCGGTAGAGGCGACATGGCGCGTTTCTTCTGAGCGGCGGAGGACGCAGTAGTGGCAGGTTTGCTGGGAGCCCTTAAATCTCTCTTAGGCCGTAATGCAGCCGGCGAAGAGTGGGTAGGTCCTTGACGCGTAGATTTCGTTTTCTTCGATTTGTCTTCACGTAAAGGGGCTAAGATATCCTCCTGTACCTCCTCCTCCTCGTCTTCTTCTCCCTCTTCTTCAGCTTCAGCGACCAACTCCGTCAATGAAGGCATCCTTTCTTCAGGTGGGATACCTAATCTCGATATGTGATGGTGCGTGGGCGTAGCCGAAACACCTCGCACAGCTGAAAGCTTCTTTGTAGACCCAAAGATTTCTTCGCGAGCTTTACGAGGAGGTGAGGACTTCTTCTTTCCGGACGGACTATTTACAGGTGTCTTGTCCTGCAAAACTTTGCGGTTACGAACCCTCATATCGTGTATTTGTATTTGAAAGCGTGCAAAGCAAGAAAGTAATCCAAGAGGGGTGGTAGTCAATGAGAGAGAGGTAATAACCCAGAGGCACGCTTGGGCCCTGTGTGGCCAGGCCCATTGTGCGTTTTCTATCACGTGTCCGTAAAGTTCCCGCCCCCAATTTAAACAAAATGGGCGCCTGTTTCAAAAATGTTGTCCTGAACTTTGCTTTCCGAACCTTTTCTTTACATATATCGCTCTCGGGTACTCTCTTTAAATTATTCAAAAGTAGAGAACACAAAATAATGCCAAAAGATATATTTGACTCGGACTCCGAACAAGAAGATGAACACCTGTTGACCATTAACGAACACTTCGCGAAGGCATTTGAATATCGCAAGGAGAGAGAGGAACTTGCTAAATGTATGTCTCTCCATTGAACTTCTAAACACATACTGAACTATTCTTACTATTGTCTAGTAAAAGAGAAGTATGGCTCGGATGCGGAGGAAGGAGATGAATCTGAGGATTCTGAAGACCTTGAGTCGGAAGATGAGGATGGTGAAGAGCTTACGCCTGCCGTCGATGCTGCAATCTTGAGGACGCTTGCAAAAATCAAGAAGAAGGATCCATCTATCTACATGAAAGATAAGGCTGTATTTGAAGGTATGTTCCTTCGCCCTCAATTTCTGTTCATAAAGTTATCTTATAATGTAGAGGAACACAAGAAGACAGGTGATATCAAACTGACAAAACGAGCGGAGAAAGACAAGGTATTTCTATATCGTGGAGTTTCCAGCCCGTCGCTAAATAATGATCCACCAATAACCACAGTCGAAACCATTAACAATGCGACAACATGCTCTCCAGTCTGCACTCAACCCTACGTCTCGTTCCCCCTCCCCGCAACCTCTTACGCACATACAAGAACAGCGAGCTCTCAAAGAAGAAACGATCAAAGCCTTCCATACTGCTGTTGCTGACGACGAAGATGATGAAGATGACGTCCTGGTGCTGAGAGAGAAGACGAAGGACGAGTTAGAGCAGGAAGAGGAAGAATACAAGGAGTATCTGCAGAGGGAAGTAGGAGAGGATTTGAAAGACCTGATTACGGTTGACGTTGATGAGGAACACGTAGTCAAAGTGGAAGCAGATGAAGGCGAGGGGAAGAAAGAGAAGAAGAAGAAGAAAGAAAGAAAGGGAAAGGAGAAGGAGAAGACTGGAAAGGACAACGAAGAGGCGGATCAAGAGTTCCTCATGAAGTGAGTGGTATTCTGCTCTATCATGCTAATAAAAGTTTGTTATCCTGACCCTTTACATCAGTTACATTCTCAATAGAGGATGGATTGATAAATCTGAACGCCGACTCCCCACGTATAAGGAAATCACTAGTTCTAAAGGCAAAGGACGGGCGACGGCATCAGATGACGAGGATGAGCTCGAGAAGGAAGATGAAGATGAAAACGGTCTTGATGATGAAGAAGAATTCGAAGAGATTGTAGATCGTTTCGAAAGCTCGTACAACTTCCGTTTCGAAGAACCGTAAGCCGTACCGCGGTATCTTTCTATGGCGAATGATACTGACCTTCCTATTATCATAATTCAGCGATGCCGCGAACATTCCTCGTTATCCTCGTAACATCCAGTCCCTCGTTCGTCGTGAAGATACTACCAGAAAGGAAGCTCGTGAACGTCGGAAGGCGAGAAAAGAGGAAGAGTTATTGAAGAAGAAAGAAGAAGTGAAGAGATTAAAGAGTTTGAAGATGAAAGACCTGAGAGAGAAACTCGAACAGGTCGGAAAGGAAGGCGGTATGACTTTGGAGGAAAGCCAAGGTTCGTTTTCAATTGAAATCCCTCAACTATATTCCATAATGACCCTTTTCACATCTACTAGCATTGCAAGAACTTGACCTGGAAGCAGATTGGGATCCAGAAAAGCATGATCGTCAAATGGCGGATATATATGCGAACGTTGACATTGTCGATGATGAAAAGCCCACATGGGATGACGATATTGACATCGCGGATATTGCTCCACCCTCAGACGACGATGCCGAGCCTTCATCTTCGAAACCCAAGAAAAAGAAGAAAAAGAAAAAGACCAAGGATAACGAGGACGGATGGGATGAAGGTGGGGTTGATATTGACGAGATGGATGCCGACGTTCAGTTGGAGAAGAAGAGAAAGAGAGACGAGGAAGGTGAGGATATAGAATGGGATGGATCAGAGGAGATGAGGAAGAAAGTCCTGGAAGAATACATGGACGAAGTTTATGGACTCGAGTTCAACGACATGGTACGTCTCTTAGTGACTTGATTGTCCTCGGATAGATCTAATTCAAATTTCCTTCACACGAATAGGTTGGAGACATGCCCACTCGTTTCAAGTACGCGAAGGTCGCACCTCAAGCTTACAATCTCACACCTACTGAGATTTTGTTGGCGACCGATGCAGAACTAAACGAGTTCATGGGCCTTCGGAAGTTCGCTCCGTACAGGAAAGAGTCAAAGAACTGGGACAACCGCCGAATAGAGAAGCTGAAAGAGTTGAAGGCTAAATTGAAGGATCGTGCTTCGAGTTCTTGGTGGGGTGGAGATTCTGCTGATAAATTCAGCGGTCGTGGGGGCGAAGAACCACCAAAGAAGAAGAGGAAAGGTAAGAAGGAACGTATGAAGGAGAAAGGCGTGGCCGGTGAGAATGGTGCTACTCGCGACGGGAATGATGAAGATGGCGCAGATGTGGAGATGGAAGATGCACCTTCAAGGCAGGAGAAAGAATCATTGAAGGTCAAGGAAACGAATGGAGATCAGGGTGAAGACGAGCCATCAAAAAAGAAGAGGAAGAGGAAACATAAAAAATCGAGTCAAAATGCCTCATAGTATACAGTGCATTAATATTGCTTCTGCTTCCTAATCATACGTAGCTCAGTCTCACAGCACAAAATCCGACCGTTGAGTAGGACGTTGTTTGTCCTTGTTGTGCAAAAGCTTTGAACATATTTCCTTCAAGGGTAACTTGATCCGATAACTACCAAACGCCACTCCTCGATCGGTCACACTGAACGACTCGGAAGGTCCATAAAAGGCCAAAACTAGCAGGTTGCGAGTAGTCCGTTCGATGATTGTGAACAGGAATTGTCTCAGTGGGTCTCACCGTCTGCATACGTCGATCCATGTCTCAGTTTGAATGGTCCGGAATTCAAGATGTATTAAGAAGTACTCCGAGTCCTGCCTCGGATCAAATACGACACATGCATGAAACAAGAAATATATCGGAATAATCTCATGAACCGATAGTTATTATTCTGGAAATGGTGGCGTACCATTGTCCTGAGAGAGTTCTGGGCATTCCTTTTGTGATCAGAGTAGGGTACATTGGCCTTCAGGTTGAACGAATAAAACATGATCTTGACTTCAGTGGCTGGACAATGGCACGCATTCCTATAAATTCGTCCCTGCAGAACCACAAAAATTCGCCAACGATCCGAGCTCTCCTTTCTCTCATGCATCCGTCTATCATCACCACAATTGCTACAATCCCACGACAAAATGATGCACATGATTCCTTCCATAGCTCCGTGTAATGCACGGAGCCCACACGAAGGTCTTTGCGATGATGGAATTCAAAAACAATGCCCATTAGCTGGATTGAACAACTGACCTCACCATCTCTACTCGTTGAAGAGTACAAGTGGCGCGCTCTACCACTGAGCTAAACGGGCTTGCTTTAGGTGAAGTGATGGTAGAGTACCAGGTGAGTAACTTTCCATATACGTCCAAAATCGAACAGAATGTTCGTTTGCATTCCACTCTTCATAAAATCTGTGCCACTCCTTACGCGAATGCCTCATGATGGAAGAAATATGTGATAACAGTGAAAGGCGGATGAAAAGCCCTTTGTAGGCTGATTCTCATATCAGAGTGGCTCATCCAGTGGCTTGATTGAGGATTCTATGTCGTATATAAAGAGTCAGAATGAGCGAAAGCGGGATTCAACTTTCCTCTGATAACTTCATTGATTCAACGACTTTGCCACACTTCCACCCTCTCAAACTTGAATATGCGCGTTTATCCCTTTTCTCATTCCAACAATGCTTTGCCTAGACCAGATGAATCCTGGCACTCGATGCATGCTACAAATAATCATCCAGTAAGTAAACTCGTTAACATGAAAGAAAAAATCATGTATACTCACTTGATTCGATTTCTAAGATCACCCAACAACATTTCTTCACCGATACCATGTTCAACCCTATTTGGACAGATCAGCAAAACGTTTTCTGGAACCCATCAGCGAGAAGCTATCTTCGATCGGGGAGTAGAGTGCAGGCAGAGATTGCCGCGAGAGGAGTGTTTGGTGGGGGAGCAAGCGTTAGGAGTGGAGAGCGAGAACCAGTGAGGCAGGCTTGGAATGGTTTCATGGATGGAGCCACTGGGAGTGTTCGTGCGACTCCGAGAGAAGAGGGGTTTATGCGTTCAGAAGGATGGCCGGCAACTCGGTGGACTCCTGACATGGGCTGGCATCAATCGACCTCTCAGAATGCTGTAGATCCCTCTGTCAACAGAGTTACGTTCAAGCAAAAGTATCGGCACCTAAGAGATCGAGTGCACCCTCCTCCCGAAATCAAGATGACACTTATTCAGAGATACGTGCAGAGCCAAGAGGCATGTAAAGGCGAGGAAAGGGTAGTAGCGTTCAATGCAGGGAGTACACCAGCGTCGCTTCGTACACCCGCCACACCGAATCTTGCAGCGACGAGTCTTTCCCCAGTTGTCCCTTCACCTCTCAATCTCGACAATACGGTAGACCGGGAAGGAGACGTCGATTACGATTCGGAGGAGATGGACTTGGAGGATCTGGACGTGGGAGACGATTCTGACACAGTTGTCAGTTCGGAATCGCCTTTGTATTTTGTTCTTGATGATATCGAGGACGAGGATATCATGGGCATCGATGTTGTGACATGACGGCCTAATTTCGGTGTACTAAAGATGGACTTTCTGTTGGGTTATTTTTACTTGTATTTCTATAAAAATACCATCGATTGTAATCTAATTGTAAATTGTTAAGATTAGTTTTATTTGTAATACTGCAGTGAATGTCGAGAAGGAATTGGCAAACCGCGTTCAAATCCCGAGTGAAGCTTCAAGCTCAATTGAATGAGCTTGATCTACAAATGAACACTATCCTTTAGCGTTGCGATTTTCATGAGCAGAGGTTGTGTATGTCTATTTAACACTCACGGAACAAACTCATCCAAGTAACTCGAGAAATGGGTTGTTTGTACCTATTGACCAACGGCCTCTTCCAAATTTCCTAATGAAGGTCACTGCAACTTTTCTTTCCCGCACCTCCATCACGAGCTCGAGTGCACCCGCCTTTGCGACTGTGTGGCACAAGTATTCATTCACATCTGACTGCACTTCTCTACTCACAGATACCGAGAATACCATGGCAGACAATGTGGAATTGTTGTGGGACCGCCCCTTAGGAATCGTGAAAATTGCTTGACATCGCACAATCCATCACCCTTATTTCCAATGGTCTGCGTGCTGCTTCAATAGGTACCTGTCTTTTTAGAGTTCTTTGTTGCAATGTTTTTGTTTTTTTGGTTAGATATTCACTCAACTTTTCACACAGGATCGTGCTGATATCCTGTCTTCACAGAATTCCGGTGGGAGATGTGTATTCACTTCCACTTCTCTCGAAGACACCAAGTTGGTATGTCTGAACGTTCGTGTCCTCCAGTTTTTCATCTTACAGTCGCTTAAACATAGTTCAAGGGTGCAATGTGGCGTCGGGGGTTTTCTCTTTTCTGACCACCGTGTGCGATATGACGATACGCTTTCCCTCAACTGTCTTTGACATACTGTTTTTAGAGTGGCAACATGACCAGGAAACCAAAGCTCCAGATATTCTGTATTCAATATTTTCGTACTTCCATGGAAAACAACCACACGTAATTCATCAATCCCCGTGTATCTGACGGTCCCATGTTTCTCATGGGTGACGATACTTCAACGTTCACCTCTTCGGACTGCGGATCGTTCTTCTAGACCAATGGCGACACCGAAAGGCTCTGTCCAATCAAGAGAGCTTCCTTCATGTCGTGCATCCTCCTTGCAAGTTGCAAATGCCCGTCCTAAACTCGCAGTGTCATCGATGGAAACCTGTTGAGGGTATGGCATTTTTTCCACCAGGTAGGTGCATTTATAGCAAGTACCCTATTCTTGGACCAACGTGATCTGATGAAATGAATGTAGTTCAGAATGACCAAAAAAGTGCGACGATTGCTTCGTTGTCACGCTTAACAATAAGGACATCTGCGTAAAGCATTCAATACCACTCCGCCAGATGGTGTGGTACCCTCAGGGTTGATCCGGGAATGAAATCCCCGCTACTGCTTTTTGCAATGTTTGTTTTTCATTTACTTTATCGCAAATCACAAAGATGTGGTCTGCGATATATTTTTCTTCCACCTCAAGATGATGTGCCTTTACCACAAAAAGCGAATTCCTCATTCCAATATGCTGGCATGCATAGCTAAAACCTTTACATTTCTCGGTATCAGTTCTCGCTAATTCCGTTCTACCATCTCCTCGGTTCGCTCTTACTCTTCCTCTCAACATCTACAATTGCGCAAGCAAAGGGAGGTCAGTTGCATCTCCTCGCAATGCAATACGAGCCTTGCGTCACTAATGGTTTTCTGTTACAGACATTCAATGATAAGGCGCATGGATTCGTGGAGCTCTGAATAAATGATCTTCATGAATTTCAAACCGAAACCGCCATTTGTGACACAAGCGGTCCCGTATCAGCCATAATAGTATAATTTCAATGGTTCGTTGGCCGTCTTTCGACCGCGGATCTTCCCTTGATGATTCTTACAGCAGCAGCCGACAAGTCAAAGCTCTTCGAAGATATGTCAATATCTCACGCTCACTGTTCTGTTGTCGTTGTCTTCTCAAGACCTGTGGAGCAATACTGTGTGGCCGACCAACTTGCGTTCTGTGGAGCGAGATGATCACGTATCCCGACATGAATCCGACATAGAATGTAATAGTTCAACAGGTACGCGATTTTAGAACTGTGTCAAGAACATATCAATGACCATTTTGTGATAATCATAGTGAGAAATACTGTTCTTCGCAAGCACGGTGGTTCTCGAAATGTTCAACATTTCTACCATCCCATTCCCTGGATGTAGAGTCGACGGCTTTATTGTTTCTCCCGAAAGCTGTATAAAAGGGCCTATGTTTCGACTGTAACAGACCAACGCACTCTTCGAGACAAAAGCGTCCCCTAAGACTTGCCGCCGCCACACACAGTAACACCACCATCTTCACAATGTTCTTCTCCAAGCTCGCTTTCACTGGTCTCGCTCTTTTGGGCGTTGCTACCTCTGCTTTTGCTAGCCCCGTTGTTGCACCTGAACCTGCTGCAGAGCTCGCTACCCGCGCAGACTCCCAGCTCGTTACAGACCTCAAGAGCTTCCAAACCACTGTCGAGCCCCTCATCTCCTCCTTCGGTATAAATCTATCATAAACTCGAATATGCCAATCGTTTATTGATTTTTTTCTCTGAACAGGTGGTGCTCCTGCCGACGTTGATGTCCTCGCTACCGTTTTTGCTGACATCACCGCCAAGGTCAATGTCGACGTTTTCGTAGTCGCCGATATTGATGTTGTCCTTGACATCGTCGTCGATGTTGTCGTCGTATGTCTTTATTCATCCACCTTTGATGAGAACTTTGGAATATTGATTATCATTTTTCAATTTTCAGAAACTTGTTGCCAAGCTCGGCATTTTCCTTAACCTCAACGTCAATCTCTCCGCTCAGATCGACGCCTTTGTCAGTGCTTTCATTACTGCTTTCGACCAGAAGCAACCAGGCTTTGGAAAATCCGTTGGTGCTCAGTATGTCATCAAATATTATTCCTACATATTGCTTGCCGGTCTCTGATTTCGTTTCTCTAGGATCCCCATTTCCATCGACCTTAACATCTTTGTCACCCTCAGGCTCGTCTTGATCGCAAAGGTTTTGGCTTTGGTTAACGTTATCTTGTAAACTACCTGATCCTTACGACTTCAAGAGGCGGGACTGTGAAGCTGAAAGCGGTGGGATCTCGCCGCACTCTTCTCATTCCTGTTTGCTTATATTCTTTCGGACTTGATTTTCTGCATAATTGTTGATATCGTTTGGACTGCGGAAGGGTAGCGGTTAAACTTGGACTAGATTTACGATTTGTCATGGTTGTTCCGTCTTGAATTGATCACTTCTTTTGCCATGTTTCTTCATTGAGTGCAATCGTCATAACCGATTCAACGGAGGATTGAACTCAGTGGACGGTGACAATCAGATATCACAATACTTTTTGTGAACTTGAGCAGATGGACTAAGCTGAATTTGGTGTACTGATTTATATAAGCTGTGCCCTGTCAGTACATGTCAAACTGCACTGCAATGTCCAACATATATCTAACTTCAAGTTGAACCCATAGTAGCAAGATCAAATTCAATGGGCGCTTTCTTACCAGCATTTAAGTTTTACAATTCGCCAAAACTCATACTAGCCTCATTTTTGCGAATCGTCTATTTTGCACTCCCCGAGCCTCTTGCCGTACATACTACACACCATGGGCGTAAAATTCTTGCAGGCTGTCTTGTTAGCTCTTGGATTGCTGTCTCAAGCGTGTGAGCATCGGTGAGGATATCAGATC